GTGCTTATTTTTTTAACTAAAATGTGGCTACGAACCCTGTCGTTGCTGTGATGCTGTCTGACTCATTCAATCATTATTTTGTCATGATCATAAATTATAGCATAACGAATAATTTTCCTGTTATTCATTGCAAATGTGGTGTCGGAATAACCAAAAATTAAAAAAAATTCCTTTTTCTGTTTCCTTATGTTGTTGACTTTCCAATGTCATATTCCTCGCATAATTTTGAGACGCCTACACTTTATCCATTTCTTGTAGGAATTCCACTTTTTGTGTAATGGAAATCGAAACATACTTTCGCTTTGTAAATCTGTTTGCAGCTCCAGAATTAGACACTTTTTTCAACATAATTGAAATTTCAAACTTTAATTTTCATAAAACTGCTGCAATAATAACAGCCTGCAGAAAATAATTAAGCTGGGTCAAATCAGAAAGTTAAGGAACAGGGTAATCTGCTATATCAACTGAAATTCCTTGGAATCAGTATAATTGTAATATAACTATAATTTTAAATAAAATATAGTTTTAACCTAGCTTAATAATGTCTGCTTTACATTATTGGCTATGTGTCATGAGATTGTCGACGAAATATGAGTTCTTCCTCTAAATGTTGCCTTGCTTCTAGCATGCACTGGAGCAGTTAAGCTTTGAATTATATTAATTTAGTTATTTATTATACTTACGTCTAATTTTTGTACATACCTAAGCTTATCTGAGTCCTGAGTGAATAAATTTGCACATGTACTTGAGACTTGCCGAGGACCGGCACGAGATATCTTACTCCCCGATGCAGTCTCTAAGGGTCCTAAATTCTGCAACTCAGTGCCTTCCTGAGTTCTAAATTTTTGCCGCCCCTTAATTTTGGATCCCAGTGATGTCCCTAAATTCTGAAAATGTTGTCATCTCTTAATTGTGCTGCTTCGTGCTTCCCTAAAATCCCAAAATTTTTTCTTTCCTAATTTCTGTCTCCCGGTGTGATCATACAAACTCTGGTGCCAGTTCCTTGTTTATGTGAATAATAAATCAGTTAGTTATTCTTAATTCAAGTAGCACTAAATGTAATCTTTTGGGCTATGAGTATCATTAAGAAAATCTTTTTTTTGCATATAGAAAGAAAGTTTTGTTAAATTTTCCCCCGTCAACATTTCTTAGCGCATTTAACTTAAATCTGTAATCATTGCCAAGTGTAATGTCAACATAGAAAATTACCATACTTTTTGCTATTCAATTACTAATATAAAAAAATAATTTAGGCAATGCTGCATGAGTTGTTACTCAAGTTATCATGTGTTGATAAACATGCAGTGATGAAAGCAAAATATAATAATGATTTAACAGGTCAGGGATATAAAATATTAGTAGCATAAAATCAATTATGTTTGTATGTAGAATGTTGCATTAGAGATATATTCCAAGCAACCGAGCTATACGCAGCTACGTAGCCAAATTATTGATCACACAAATTTATGCTAAAATGAATGTTTCTTGAATAACGAGTTATTTTATGTAACACCGAAGTGAAATTAAGACCTCTCCACACGTTTTATTATGGGTGAAAAAATCAAATGCACATGCGTAGAGCATACTTATTTGTAGATTTGAGGTCTGGGTTTTAGACCATTCAGGATATTGGGCGTCCAGATCTCAGACTTTGTACTGTACATCCTTTCATTAACATTAAGCTATATTAGTAATTATTCTGTTGTATCTCTTAATTCATAAAAATAATTATTATTGCTTTTAATTTTATTGTGTTTGAATGCTGAAAAATTCTGATACATTTATGTAATTTGCTATATAAATTTTGTAAATGAAATTTTCTGTAAAAGTAGCTGTTGGCATCATATTTTTCTTTTTAAGGATCTAGATTTTCTTATATTTTATTAATGTTTCTTTCTAGTAGAAGATTAAAAAACTTAAGTTGTTACTTCTGTGCCAAGTAAATGTTGTTAATATTTTAACAGTTATATGTAAGGAAATAAGTGTGCAAAAATGAACGTATCGTGGTATTGTATTTGTGCATTAACGTGGGTTACTTAATAGCAAAATATAAATGTTGGTGTGAAATCTTAACTAGATAACCTTAATAATATACTATAAAACTTCATAGGGGGGGCAAAAAAGTGTTTTATTAAATCGAGAATAAATATAAAAAATAAACACAAATGAAAAAATACAAAATAGATTTTACCAGATTAATATATTATTTCTGAGTGTTATTTTTCTGATTAGTAGAGAAAGTATAAAACTGCTTATTTCATAAAACATTGCCAGGAACCTTTATGTCTCTTTGTGCAGTCTCTGCCACCTGTTTTCTAAGAGTTAGGAATATAAGATGGTAGTAGCCAATGCTGTGCTGATGATCATTTCATCATTTTGCACACAGCATCCCATATCAGGATCAGTAACAGTGTATTTGCCGTTAACTTGAAGGTGTTCATATCTGGCAGCTGTCATTTCAACTACTTAAGCAACTAAAAATCTGCAAGAAAAAAATTATGGATTGATGTTCATTCTTTCAGCTTATTCATAACAATGCAATTTCATAGTTATTCATGAAACAATATAAACAGGCTGCACATTTGAAAATTGGTGTCCCATTAGTAGAATAGTAACTTTTGTGTATTCACAATTATGTCAGAGCTGCAGAATTTATTAAGCTTTTCACTCTATGTTTACTATAACAATTGAAAGTTCTTATATTGAAAAACTGTAACAGCAGAACTCTCTGTGGTAGCATATAATTATATAATTTCTTTTTTTTTTTTTTTTTCTGAAATAATTTAGAGAGATTAATTATATTGACATAGCTGTATATTTTTTGTATTTTCTAGTAGTTTGTCCAATATGCCAGGCTGTACTGCTTCATTACCCTTAGATGCTCGTAAAGGTAGTATGCTGACCCCTGGACAAGATATGCAGTATTGTCCTGTTACACAGTAAGAACATATGTTTGTTCCCCCTTTTTTTTAAAAAACTTCAGTCATTGCTTATTAATCTAATATAGAATATAAGATAATAGTAACATAACAGATTAGTTTCTGTCAAGGTAGCCAAAATGGAATAAGGCAAAGAAGCAGTTGCAGTTTGCATGTGCTGCTTTACAGTTAGCAACTTAACCCTTTGACTATGAGTTTAATTTTTTTCAACCCAGTTTTCTATCCAAGTAAACAAAATATGTTATAAATAAGGTAAATTTAGCATTTGAGTTTTATTTATTTATTTATTTGAGAAACGGTTTTCATCCAGACGTAGTCAATAGTGGGATCCATATGTCTCACATGTAGCAATCGACTTACTATAAGTACACCTATTATTCTGGAAAACTTTATTATATGAAATGGATTTACATGGTATGGTACAAAGTAAAGTGTTCTTTGCATAACCCAATGTTACACATTGGCCAACTTATATTCTTTCTTTTCTCTATGTTCATTTGTGTAGAGTGAGTACAACGGCATCTTGATTTTCCAGCTATTGAAAGATGATCCCCAACATTCAGGACATTCTTACTTCTTTTTAACCCAGCAGTAGTTTTTAAACTTTTATGGAACGTAATGTCCCATTAGTAGTCAAAGGGTGTTAACATTTATTTGTTTGGAGAATGATTTTGACTTTTCAAAGCTCATTTACAAGACAGCTTACCAAATCATTGCCAAAAGAAACTCAGGGCAGTGCAGTAAACATGCTGTTAAGGTACAAATAATGTGTATGTTGGGTATGTACATTTCCAAAATGAGGAACAAATGGCTATATTTAAAGTCATAGAGTCATTAGGTTACTTTGAAGCTGGCAACATGAAAAATGTGTAATTCCCTCACTTGGACTCGAATCCTGGATCTCACAATACACATTGAATATGCTTCTAATCACACTGTAAAGGCATGAGGAAAGGAGGGAGTAAATACCTTATATACTCCCCCTTTTAAAGGGTGACTGGATTAATGGACCCAATCATGAAATCCTAGTGGTGACGAATTATAGTCCACTACCTTTTTTATTTTTTAAAAGCCTTGGGGGGTTTTATTGTAAAGTTATCAGGTTATTTTGAAGCGGGCAATGTGAAAAATATGCAGTGTTCTCACTGGGACTCCAACCCTGGACTTCTCAAATATGATTCCAATTACACCACAAAGACATGCAGAAGGGAGGGAGAAAATACCTTATAAAAGGATCAGAAATACTTGTTGTGATAAGTGTGTTGTGTAACTCCAATTGACTCCATTAACTCCATTCCCAGAGGTTGGGGTCGGGGGGAGTATGCGAGATGGAGCTGTAGGAGAAGAATAGGATTGCCATCATCATTTGATTCTGTTAGGATTGACAAGCCGTTAATGTCTAAAACTTTTGTCATTGTGTTGAAGATGAAGGACTGTCGTTTATTAATTTAGAAGTCAAACAACAAAAATCAGCATTATGTTTTCAAATTTTCACAGTCACTGTGAAATTACTGTGGAAAATTTAAAAACATAACGCTGATTTTTTGTTGTTTGACTTCTAAATTAATATCTCGACTATCATTTACTTTGGCTGATGTGGATGGCTTGATACTGTAGTATAGTTTATACTTAAATATTTTTGTAACATACAGTTCTTCATAGAAACTTGGAATCTTACAATTTCATTGAAGATTTCATAGTAAATCTACTGTATGTTTAAAACTAAAGTTATATTTTCATGCAGTCATTTTTCTAAACAAGCTCTGAGAACTATTCTGATTTTCTTCCTTCTTCTACTTTTAAACCTACTTTAGATTTCTTTAATTAAATAAAAGTATGTACTAGTGTAAAATATTTCATGAAAGTGAAATAAAAAGAACTTTGTGAAGCAGGAAGTACTTATTTTTGTTTGCAGTAGCTCATCTGTTCATCATCTCTTCCAGCAGCATTATAATTATTTTGCTTTTAACAGGGAAAAGGAAATATTTTGCAAAAACTTAGGAATTTCCAGTGTTAAAAAAATAGTAGTGTAAAAAGAAATCAAAGGATGTTTTTTTGTACTGTCAATGTGACAGACAACATTTCACACTGTATTTTGTTGATCCACTGTATTAATACACTTTATCATTCAATTTCGTATCATACGATTACGCTGTGTATTTGAACTAAAGTCAAAACTGCTTTCGTTCTAATTACCAAGATTTTCATTTTAAGTATCATGCACATTTTTAAAGACACTGTAATAGCAAGCAACGTAATAAACTGTTAAAATAAAAAAAAAAAAAGTAAGATTTTTAAAATCATTCATTTTCAGATTTTTTATTTAAAAATGTGTGTTAGAGATGTATGATTATATAAAACTTGGTTATATAGTTACAGTTAGCTTTATTGCATTAACATATTTTTGAGTTAATATTTTTGTAATGAAATGAAACATTTTAATTTTCACTAAAGATTAAAAATTCCTTTTTAGCTTGTGGGTCCCCAAGAACACAATAACGGGAGATAAAACAACCATATAGTGTTTCTTATTTATTATCCATTAGGGAAATAGCACTTCTGCCAGAGGCTCACAGTTGCCCACTTTGGGTAGTCTTTCATTTATATTGTGGTGAAAGAAATTTTGAACATAGAAATATTATCCGTGAAGTTTTCAGCAGCCTCAATCTGAATACTTTTCTCAAGTCTTCTAATAACAGAGATTTGATTTGGTTTATATATTATGATAAAGCATAGTGAGGACTATAAATTTAAGAGGAGTATAAGTTTTTAAAGAAAGAGGACTATAAAAGAAAGTTTAAGAGGACTATAACTTCATAGAGGACTTTCTAAGGAAATCTGTTTCACATCCACATTACACGTGGAAAAAAACCACAAAAATGCCTTTGCAGCCAGCTCATTTGCTAGGATTTGAGCCAAATAGAATTGCAATTCAGGTTTAGCAATATTATTCACTTTAAAAATACAAAAATGGGTTGCATTATATGTGTTTACAGAGCTTTAATTGTTTAAAAAGTCATTTAAATCAGTATCACAAGATTTTAAGAATTGTGCTTTCTTAAACTGAAAGGGTATTTTTAAAAATTGATGATTGTCAAAGCACTGCAAAAGCAAGGATAAGTAGAAACATATACCAATAACAAAAGAAATAATGGTGAGAGCAAAAATAATTAAAAGTAATATAAAGGTGTAGAAAGAAGATGCATGCAACTTTGGCGAAACCAAGAAAATAAAATGTAAACTTTCTCTTTCGTGCAGCCAGCATTCACCAAAAACAAAGCATTTACTTAGGTCAACCCTACTTAAAGTATACTAGCCCTGCTGCTTTAGCGACCACCACAAATGAGATATAGTGGTTAGAGCGCTTCTTCTGGTAGACAAACAGTAGTTCATAAGTAGTAGTTTGTGAAAATATGCAAATATATTGTTATGTCATCTGTTAAAATTAAATTGCTTTGTCTTAAAAATAAATCAAATATACAGCCAATCTGTTTCTGACTTCTATTGAAATAATGATAGTTATGTAAACAAAAGCACCATGTTTAAAGGAGGAAGGAAAAGGTAGAAGAAAGAATGTGCATTTTCAGTGGATCAGTTCAAAACTTAATTATGGAACCAAGTTAATTTTTTCTCTTAATTAAATCACCTGAAAATACAGATAAATTTTATGTTATTTCAGAGTTGCCAACTCTCCCGATTTAGGCAGGAGACTTCCGATTTTCGACCGCTCTCCCGCCAACCCGATTTACAATGTATTTCTCCCGACTTTTTCTTTTTCTTAAAATTTCTCACGATTTTTATGCAACTTGGCTTAATACTTTGTTATATGTATAAAAAAAGTGCTTTTGGACGTCTGAAAGCAATTGAATTTTCTCTACATTATATCCAAAACAAAACCTTGCGAATCAGATAGCTTCTGCTTTGTGAGTGAGAGCATTATACGTATCCAGAAACGTCATTCTCCAGTTCTCCAATGGGCTTCGAGCTCCACTGCGTGTCAGCTGGCATATATTAGCCCAATGAGGACAAAGCAAGTTGTTTTTGGACGTTCTTTTTTAGTTATTTCATTCATTTTGTCCTGAGTTGTGTGAGTACACGTGCCTTAGGGAAATAGTTTTAGAAATTCTCATCTTTTGTTACGTCTGCGAGAAAGGTGAAATACTTGTGTACGTTTCAAAAATCGTACACAGTTGACTTTCCTTCCATTATTTCCTCAAGGAAATGTAATAAATTTGCGATGTGTACCGCCTGTCGTTGCGATTTTTCGATTTTGTATGTTGGAAGGGCGAATGTTCTCAAACATGTGGCGTACACAAAACACAAGGATAACATGAGTTGTTTTGAAAAAACGAAAAATTAAATTTTCCCTTCGGAAACAAAGGACCAAAAAGTTATTAATGCAGAATGTCTGTTCTCTGCCTTTTTACTGGAGCACAACCTGCCACTGAATGCATCGGATCACGCTGCAGCTTTATTTAGAAAAAATGTTTCTCGATAGTGAAATCGCTAAGAAATACTCAAGTGCAAGAATCAAAACAGGTGCAATTGTTAAAGAAATGGGTTTGAAAAATAATCTTCAGTTATTGATTGCATTAAAACAGCTCCGGCCTGCCTCTCTACTGATGGAAGCAATAATACCGATTCAAAACTGTATCCAATTGTTGTTTCTTTTTTTTTTTGATCCAGAGTCTTCAGAAATTGAGTGCAGTTTACTTTATGTTCCCACTTTAGAAGGACATTTGACAGGCTTTAATATAGCACAGTAATTATTAAAACTTTAAAAGAAACTGCAGGCACTCTGGATAATTGCTTAGCACTTGGTGCCGATAATGCACCAGTATTGGTAGGCTTGGAAGCTGGTGTTGCAGGCATCTTAAGAAAGGAAAATTCAGATTATGAGTGCACCTGTCACCTCTAAATTAGCAGCTGAAAAAAGGGCAACTTCTTTACCCAATAAATGTGGATGAACACATTGTTGATATTTATTTATCTTGAAAGGA